TTCAAGCTACTTACAGGACTTGAAAAGGGCCTCGTCTGCATCATATTACATCTCAGACTATGCCAGCTTCTTCAAGCTTGGAAAGGGTCTTGTCTGCATCATACTACTTGCCAGACCATGCCAGCTTCATCAAGCTACTTACAGAACTTTCAAAGGGCCTTGTCTGCATCATACTACATGCCAGACCATGACAGCTTTATCAAGCTAATTACAGAACTTCAAAAGGGCCTTGTCTGCATCATACTACTTCTCATACCATGCCAGCTTCTTCAAGCTACTTTCAGAACTTCAAAAGGGGCCTTTTCTGCATCATACTACATGCCAGACCATGCCAGCTTCTTCAAGCTACTTACAGAACTTTAAAAGGGCCTTGTCTGCAATACATCAATACATGTGGCAATAGGTCTTGCGAATATCATCATGATATCAACTCTTGAGTCGTATTTTCTTCATAACAGATAGAAAACACTAAATTAGGACATGCAAAATGCATAATGAAGGCTATTATAAACACTGTCTTAAATTGATACTCTGTAATATTTATCAGCATCGGAATACATTATGTACAAATTATGGAGCATCAATAATATGCATTTATCTTATGTTCTTCATTTCTACGTATTTTAAAATACATTGTACAACGTCCAGAATTAGGAGCATAAAAACCACTGTGGCTAAACAAAGGTTTTATTGAATAAAAATTTTTACTAAAATAAAACGATGTTTCATCATTTTTCGAGTATATATCAGGAACATCAGGAACTATATATTCAATTACATGTACACTGTACATTATTTCCAAGATTTGAAAACAACTTCAGAAAAATGAACCAGCTATATGCAGTTATATGCATCATGTGTCATCAATGTGTAAAATTTTAGGACTGTTCAAACCATATCATGAAATTCAAATACAACTAGTGCTAATTGTAATTGTAAAATTTTTATAGTCATATTCCCTGTAAGCGTTATTAAATAAGACAAACTTTATGCATTTGAGACTTTAACAACGTTTACCCATTTTATCATTGCACACTGCGCATGTTAATGCATGTGCGTAATGACCATACAATTCTCTACACAATCTATATGTTTTAATATGCTAAATATTAAAGTATTTAATCCAAAAGTATAAAAAAAAAACGTGTGTATTTTTAATTCTACCCATTTCACGTGCACGCACGTGCATACATGAGCATGGTGACCATACCTTATTGTAAAAAGTCCATTACATCTATCTATGTTCTAAATCCCACCCCGTTTGGTTGAAAACCAAGGGAGTTATAGCTGTTTAAAGTTTCAGCCAATCAGATTACACGCACGTGTATGTATGTGCATGGTGACCATACCTTCTTATAGAAGTCCATTATATAAAATTATATATAAGTTTCAGCCAGTCAGATTGCAGCATTAGTACACGGTGCATGCATGTGCATGGTGACCATACTTTTTTGTAGAAGTATCAATTAAAACCAAGGGAGTTATAGCTGTTTAAAGTTTCAGCCAATCAGATTGCAGCGCACGTGCATGCACGTGATTTCATGATAATTGTTATATGTCATTTTGTAGGATATCTTAATGCATGGCTATGTTAAAAAATTCAAAGGATTTCGTCAAAAAACAAGAAAGATATTGAGACACAGCCAATGTTTGTTTGTTTTTCTTGTTTTTTTTTTTACATTTTTTTTTTTCATCAAAAAATAGAAAAGTTACTATACATTATATTGGTCATTCACGTGTTGCACGTGCGCGCTCTTGCAAGCACGTGCGCGCAAAATGACCTTCGTTCCGCAAATCTACATAACATGTCTACTGACCCTAAAAACATTTCACCTTAGTTGGATGTGTAGTTTACGAGATCATTCGCGGACAAAAAAGTGCCCAGGAAGAAGAAAAATAATAATAATAAGAAACAGAGTAAAAACAATATGTTCCCCAACTTCGTTTGGGGAACATGCTTCCAAAATAGTGTGTCTCGTTACTATAAATTAGAAACAGTGGAACTTTGTTCATAATTGCTACCAAATTCCAACCCATCATATAGCATACATGTACCAGGTACGTACGTGTATTAGTTACTACCGTGACTTTACTAGAATTATACTCATTCTCAAGTAACACATGTTTGTTTGTTTGTTTGTTTTTTTTTTTTTATTTTTTTTTTTTACAAAGCCAAATTCAAGTCCTACCAGATTCTCTGTTCTGCGCGTGCCTCTATCTGCTGTAAGAGTCGTAGCCGTAGTAATAGTCAATGAGGCTTAAAGAAGAAACAAAACTGGCAGAAGATTAGACGTTGACAAACGTTTTAATCACTCAAGCTTTCAGGAATTACGATTAACAGAATGAAATTTTGTTGCCTTAATGTGAAAGACACAGGGTGCTTATATGGTCCTTTACCCTATCGTAAATAATATAAACAGTGTTTAAAATTCAAATGTTATTTTCATACTTTCGTTCTTTCTCTGAGGAAGTCGCAAATAAGAAATTACCAGTTTGTAGCTGCACCTTCAAATGTGCCAATTTTCACCCACATGGAGTCCAAACGTGTCAGAGATGCCCGGAACCTCGGCTCTGTTTGTTTGTGCATAATCAGCAACTGTTTCTACATGAAGCTAGGCGCTCGTCTAGTATAGCTGATTTCTATCTCCGATCTAAGCGAACATAAGTCTGTTGCAATGTAGCAGCGAACTTCGAATAACTTAAAACACCCGAAAATCTACCTTATACGTGTCTGAATTATGCGTAGCACGGATTCAACCTATTCACCCGTAAACAAATAAACAACCAATCGATCTCCTTTATCGATGGACTTAATCTGCATACAAAACAAACACACGTGTTTTACCATAACTTTTATAAATATATATATGCTTTACCATCGGAGATGTGCACAAGTCGATAGCCAATCCAAGAAATCATTCAAGTGTAACGAGCGCATAGGGGTATATATCGTTACAATGAGACATGGTAACTGAAAGAAATATGGCGGAATACGGCTATAGTTGGTATGAAACAAGTCGTACATAGATGAAAATGCTGCGTTTTTAAGAATTCATGTCAGCTTTAAGTTTTCCGATTCTTTACCATTCATTTCAATGCGGTGTCTCGAATAGCCCTTGTTTTCCAGCTTTTCACAATGAAACTATGTGATGAAAAGTGGTCATATAAGATGTTATCAGTTTATAAAAGATTCAATAATTAAAGATAGTCAAGCTTAACGTCATATGAATTCTATCTTGTATGTAACAGAGCTCGGGACATTCTTTATTGAATAGACCTCGTATGTCGGTAAAAGCTTCAAAATTGGGCCTTTAGTCGGCAGACAGTAAGCAGTGAGGATTCTTTTGTTAATGCCTTCCGTGACATAATATCTCCTTTTTTCAGGTCTCACATAAATCGTGTTTTTTTTCCACTTCTAAAGCCACCCGCATCATCTCTGGTCTTTCATTCAGAGGAAAAGCAACCTCAAATGCATTTACATCACCCGATGTTAAAAGTTTTTACAATTATATCTATTTACCTAACTTGAGATGGATGGAACTAAAATTTACTTATAATTAAATAGTATATGTTACGAATTCTTTACATTCAATAAAGTTTTACTCCATAATCCGCAAATAAGAGGTCTTCCAACAGTCATTTCAAAGTTTGTGAAAAGGGGAGGGGTTATCATGGCGTCTACACAATACATTCAAGGTTGTTTTCCTGCTAGTTATGGTCACTTTGAGAAGAATTTGCTACTATTAATACGCCTCACGTGTAGGTTTGACACGAGAAGAGAACCCAGGCCTCCAGATTATGATGGGACACCTTGTCACTTGGATACCGAGAACGGTCTTCATGTATTTACTTTAAGAAACCTTTTTGATTTAAAATGTTCAGAAATGCTTAAAAATTAATGACCTTTTCTTTTCACTGTATGCCAATATTAGGGCGCTCACCTCGCTACGTAATCACAAGATGGCAGGTCGAATAAAACTTTTACTTGCTGATCAATGCTCATGATTGATGAGAAAAGTTTTAAATATGCACCCTTCTAACGGCACGTGGTAGCGTCTTAATTTGAAAAAAAATTAAACTATCATACAAACAAAGACCTTTTGACTGAGACTATCAAAAACCAACTTGTGTTTAAAAAAAAATTGGACACGGTAAGAAACCCTCGACCACAACAATGGCCACCTGATGCCGAATAATAAAGATCCTTATTCCTTAAACATTGAATTGGCTTCGGATTTTTCGTTGTGCTGCTCGTTACGAAGATATCACGGCAAATGTGAATAGGGACTGCTTACTTCCAAGAAGCACCCAATCCCACCTCCGGAAGCCCTTGTTTCTACTGCTACCAATCTGTATCATTCCATTGGACTTTGGAACAAAACATATTGGTAGTAGACTTCTGGACTTAACAACTGATCTGCATCTTAATATTTATTTCATCTAACACCCTTAACAGATATATTGATATAAAATAGCACATCTGAAAATTATTGCTATGAACTTTAAACAAACAGTTAATCGTTTTGCATATAAAACTTAAAACATACCAAAAGAATAAGACGCTCAATTAATTAATTAATAATAAGCTGTTCAATGAAAAAAATATTCTTCTTTAGTAAAAGTTTCATATCAGTTTTCTTCTTTACTGGCAAACCTTTAGCAGAATTAGAAGGTTTATTGTACTTTTTAATTTTAGGCCTTTGAATTTTTATGTTATAGCCAAAATGCCAGATTTTCACAGATTTTATATTTAATATCATAATATAATTGAAGGAAAATACACTCGGTATAATCGACTGAATTAAGTAAGAAGAATAAGAAGAAGTTTTCTTACTTCTAATTTATTTTATTTTTTAAAAGAAGAAATCAATACCTTCGGAAAAACAAATCGATAAGTGATTTGTTATCAACCATTATGTGCTTGACATCATTGCATAAGTGCATATGACAGATTAGATATAACCCTCTAGATGCAAAGTGATTTTAAAATTTAAAGAACAATCAATAAAGTATATTGAAGGCTGTGCCACTTTCTATGTGGAACAAGGAACAATAATAACTGTTTGAATAGTAAGTATCAGACATCGTTAAATAGTAATCTAGTTTCATCTAAACTGAATTACATGTTATTGGCTTGAGTTTTCTTCTTCATTATAATTATCATTTTTGATACAATTAGCGATGTTTTTATATATGTACATTGAATAATTCAGTTAAAATATTTGATTTTATTTTTTCTTCTCCATTTTGATATTCAGAATAGGACGACGATAGATCTATGCATATATTAGTCAGTTTTTGCACATTTTCTTTTCTGAATATCAAAACAGGACCGTAAATGTACCATTAAATGTTCCCCCTTTTTCCTTTTTCTGTAAACTGTCATACTTTCATTTATTCTTATTCTGCTTAAAAGACTTGTTATAAAACCTATCCATTTTCTTTTTCTCTCTTGATACTTTTATAGTTTATTCTGAATTAGATGCAGGGAGAATAGATGACTAAACATTGAATAATCGAATATTAAAGATTATACATGTGTGGAAAACAAAAATATTGACGCTAAAACATTTCGAGTTTAAAATTTGAATTTTACTACCGAATACAACGTTTACCTGTTCAATAGAAAAGGCTCAGGGTGTGTATAATTACCGGTAAACAAAAGTGATGTTTCCAGGGCCCTAACAAAAATATACTTGAGGTACCAATACCTCATAGTAGTGAACTATATAAATAAAGCTGTTTTTTCAAATATATTTCATGCAAAGCTTTCACTTTAGTGATTCCAAGAATTTTTACTTGGATTTCAGACTGGGCTATCTTTAAAATCATGTTTGCTTGCCCTCTCCCGACCCATGAAAAAATTATCGGGTCGGTAGGTAGGTGGAAAAATCTTTTGACCAGGAAAAATTAACATATTTGTTGACGGAATAAGAGGGATTAAAAGAATACAATTGTACTAGAATGTAAAAAAAAAAAACAGATTTGAATTTTAGTCAGTCGGTTAGGAGAGGGCAACCAAACAAACTTTCAAAGATGACCCTGTTATATTTCTGTAAAATAATTCTTGTATGCATTATTTTCAAATGAAATAGAAAAAAATACTTTAAATGAATAACATATTATTTATAAATCTTATACCAATGTTGTTGAATTCAAGAGATTTTAGCCATTAAAATATTTTTAAAGGTTCTAAAATTGAGTTTTTATTGGAAATCAAGATAACCAAGTATTAACTTGAGTTAACTTTAGTATAATATCCTATAGTTACAGTTTTGGTAGTCCATGTTTTATCCTTTTCACAATATTCTACATTGGATTAATAAGATTGAGCAATATTTGTTATCTTTTCTTTTTCTAATCAGGTACAGTCTGTCTATCTCTTTAAATAAACCCCATTTATCTCTCAAAATCAAGCTGGGAGTTATCTTTTGTAAATTCATTGCCACTAGAAATTAATGATTAGATAAATTGAAGTATACAATTTTTTTTCTTGCAGCTGCCAAAAATATTTGAACACACAAAGTTTCTTTAGAAAGTCTTGGAAAATGGATTCCTCAAAAGTAACAAATTACATAATGATTTTCTTTCAACAGTTGTTTTCCATTTCATTTTTTTTTTCATTCATGCAATTCGTTTGAAAAAATTATAATATTTGTTTTTTACCGTTTTCTTCTTTTACCGATATTTAGGACTCAGCGGACGCGGGTTACGTCATATGTTCTTCTGTAACAGATATAAAAGCGCATGTATAACAATTTTCCTGACTTATTTTTACATGTACATGTATCACAAAATAGAAAATAAAATTTTAAAAAACGAAGCAAAATTAGCTTCATTGAAACGCTATTCATGATATTAATATTATCATCATCATTCTATTTTTTTATTATTATCATTAGTATTATATATCATTTTAAGGAGCAAGAAAAATATGAAGATGAGAATCCAGGAAATGTGTATATGGAATTAGGCACCCCAGATTATGAAAAAATTCAGGACTCTGCAGTACGTTTTTTTAAGCTAATAAGAAGTCAAATTATAGGCTTAATTTTCAATTTTTAAATAAAGCCGATAAGAAAGTTACATGACTCGGCAGTACTTTTTTTATTCAGCAAATTAAATTCAAATTGTGGACTTAATTTACACATTTTTAAATCAAGCCAATAAGAAAGAATTTTTTCTCTATTCTCTTTTAATAATATTAATGAGTTTTAAAAGTGACAGCAAATCTATTGTTATCCCCTTATATTAAATGTTTTAAAATATCAATTGACCTTAATCATCGTTATGTTTAGGTTATTTTGAAACCAAAGAAGACAGATAAAGGGTATATGATGCCTGTTGAAATTCACGATCCGGGATATTCCAAATTAGTGAGTTTTGCCAAGATATTTATCAATTTTTAAATATAAACTCAAAGTTCAGTTTTGTGTTCCTTTTCAATTCTTCAGCTCAAATGTTCATAAAAGAACTGGCCCCAAGGTCCTTAAAGTAAAAAAAAACACTTGAGTTAACATTTAATTTTTATATCTTGAATTCTATCTTTGGTTTGTATTATAAATAGTGTAATGAAACGGAAAATCATATTGGATTGAAATGCCTTTGAAATAGACCAATCTAATCATTGTATAATTGACCAATCAGCGCTTGATATTATAACCAATCAGAGTTCCAGAATCATCAACCAATCATTAGTTATTAGAATAGGGTATAAATACAGACACCCATGAAGTATTTGGTTACTTGGTGGTAACTCATCGCTTGGTTAACACCTCCTGGACTAGGTTCTTGGGCTGTGTCGGGAAACAACAGAATTGTTAGTTAAACCACTCAGCTCAGGAACCTAGTTCCTTAATAGTGTGTCTCAGTGACTATAGTGTCTTGGTGACTTATTTGATATAGTGTCTTGGTGACTTAAAATAGTGTCTTGGTGACTTTTACATAAAGGTGTCTCAGTGACTTTTAGGGTGTGTTTTTTTTGGTAGTTGCAGACTGTGTCGGGAAACAACAAAATTGTTGGTTAAACCACTCAGTCTGCAACTACAGTGTTATAACTTCATATTTGATTATTTGCTTGATCGTTAGTGATTCAATTGTGGTTGATTCTTTTCTTATAATTCGTTGTCGTTAAGTTCATATTTGTTTGCTAATCATTTATCCAGATAGGACCGAGGAAAAAGTATATACACATAGTGAATTTCAATCAGTTTCTTGTTATAGTGTCATCTTTGTTGAAGTTTGTTTGATTCATATTATAAACGTGATACTTAGGAAGGAATCCTAAGCGGACCTATTAAATAATTATTTGTACTTTGTAAAAACGTTACAAATTTGGTGGCAGCGGTTTTAGGAATATTACGTTTATATATTTTGTATCATTTGTTGATCTATTATTTGTTTTCATTTTGTGGGCATGTTGTAAAACATGGCTGACAAGGATATTACCGACATTGACAAAGAAATAACGTTCATAGAGCAGAAGCTACAAGAGTTGAAAAATGACAGTTTAAACATTCACAATGCTAGTTTAGCCAAGGATACAAGTGCTAATAAAACAAGTACCCCAGATGTTCGATCAGATACGAAATCAAAAGATTCAGGTTTTGCATCAGGGAGATTTTCTGATATAGACTTTCACGGTGATGTTAAACCGAAAAAGCATCCCATAGGAAAAGTTTCTTGGGAAGATGAAATGTTGTTTGGTACAAGTAGTGTTCCTTCCGATGAGGGCAAAAGACCTGGTTATTTAATGTCAACACCAGTCTCTGGAAGTGCAACAGAGTCAAACATTACTAATCGCCGAAAGGATCGTCGATTTAGTAGACAAGATACAGAGACCGATATCATAACGGCAACAGAGAAGAAACCACAGACCCATATAAAACCTGCAACATTTGATGGTACTGGATCCTGGTTAGATTATCGTTCCCATTTTGATGCATGCGCCATGTTGAATAAGTGGACGGATCTAGAGAAAGGTTTATATTTAGCAGTTTCCTTGAGAGGACAGGCTCAGGGTGTACTGGGGAATTTGCCTAACACACACAAGCATGACTATGTCTTACTTGTGAATGCATTAGAGGAGAGATTTGCACCCTCGAATCAAAATGACTTGTATAGGACCCAGCTGCGAGAACGCCGACAACGAGCAACGGAAACTTTACCAGAACTGGGACAATCCATAAGAAGACTCACAAGCTTGGCATACCCAACGGCGCCAAGAGATGTACAAGAAACGCTGGCAAAAGAACAGTTTATTGATGCTCTCCTAGATGCTGACATGAGATTGAGAATCAAACAAGCAAGGCCATTAAATCTCAATGATGCTATTCGACATGCTGTCGAATTGGAAGCATTTGTTAAATCTGATCGTAAAATGTTAGAAAAACAAACCCACTTGCGACCAATGCAGTCAGAGAAAACTGAGGGAAACAAGAAAGCCATATCAGATCCGATCAGCACAAGTATATTGGTAGAGCTGAAGGATGAAATAGGAAAACTTCGTAAGGAAGTTAATGACATGAAAGCAAAGAATTCACAGGATGTTGTATACAAAAAGAAATTTGGAGCTACCAGCAACAGACGCTGCTATTTGTGTGGATCTCCAAATCATTTCAGATATGACTGTCCACAAGGTTATAGAACTCAACAAAACGCATCATCACAAAAGAAATACTCATATAGTACAAAGAAACATCCTGTACAAAACACATTCAAATGCATCACGTCTTACAAAGCTCAAGTTGGGGTAAACCAGAATGATCCTGAGGCTGGAATGTACGTGAAAGCTACCATCCAGGGGATTGAAGCGAATTTGCTTGTTGACACGGGAGCAACACTATCAGTACTGTCAAGTAAAGTTTATGAGGCTATACAAAACAAACCAGTTTTGTACAAAACCGATCAAATAGTCTCTTCCGCATGTGGGACCGACTTAACTGTGAAAGGAAAAACTAGCATTTGCATTAATCTGGGTGAGAGTTTTTATAGCCAAGATGTCATCGTAGCAGATTTTTCTCTTGATGGAGTCATTGGACTTGACTTTATGAAGAAATACAATTGTACAATAGACATAGTTAATGGGTATTTTAAGGTTAACGACAAAGTTTACAAAGTTGATTTCTTTGGCAAAATCGGTTGCTTTAGAATTAACTCGAAAGAGATGATTGTCGTTCCTGCCAGAAGTGAGATAGTGACTTATTGTAAGGTCTCAATGCCGTCAAAATCCTACGACATGAAAGAAGTTTTAGGTTTGATAGAACCGTCGGAGAGGTTTCTCAAATCAGGAAAAGCATTAATAGCAAGATCAGTTGGATATGTAAAAGATGGAGAAATACCAGTCCGAATGATGAATCCATCCCATGAACATCAAACAGTGTATCCAGGAACATTTATTGCAAATATGAGTTCAGTTGACAATGTTTTTGAACCAACCTCTACAGTAAATAAGCCATGCAAAGATCTGCCATCTCATCTGCAGGATCTGTTTGTGAGATCTAAAGTTAATCTAAATGGTGGTGAAATACCTCAGTTACAGAAGTTTTTGGCTAGGTATGCAGATATATTTGCGAAGTCAGACAGAGACTTGGGACGTACTTCACTGGTTAAACACACGATTGATACCAAGGACGCACGCCCACTGAAAGAACCTCCTAGAAGAATTCCACATCATTTACAGGACGAGATGAACAAGCAATTAGATGACATGCTTGACAGAAAAATCATAGAGAAATCGAATAGTCCATGGGCATCGGGAGTCGTTTTAGCGAAAAAGAAAGATGGTTCTTTGCGATTTTGTGTGGATTACAGGCGTTTAAATGCAGCTACAGTCAAAGACGCCTACCCACTTCCACGCATCGACGACTCGTTAGACAGTCTTGCCGGAGCAAAGTGGTTTTCAACCCTCGACTTGTGCTCCGGGTATTGGCAAGTTAGCATGGATGACTCAGATAAACTAAAAACGGCATTTGCAACTAAACGTGGTTTATACCATTTCAATGTTATGCCGTTTGGCCTTTGCAATGCCCCGGCAACCTTCGAAAGGCTAATGGAAACTGTTCTGAGTGGCTTGCAATGGCAAATATGTTTGGTATACCTAGATGACATCATTGTTATCGGAACATCGTTTACCAACATGTTAGAAAACCTCACACAGGTATTTGATAGACTGTCATCTGCTAACCTGAAACTGAAAGCAAGAAAGTGTCACTTGTTTCATAAGACTGTTGAATTTCTCGGACATGTGGTATCAGAGGAAGGAGTAAGCACAGATCCTTCAAAAATTTCTGCAGTACAAAATTTGTCTGTGCCTACTAATCTAACAGAGGTTAAAAGCTTTTTAGGCCTTTGCAGCTACTACAGACGTTTTATACACAACTTCGCAGCAAAGGCAAAACCACTGAACAAATTGACTGAGAAGGGATCAAATTTCAAATGGACAGATGATTGTCAAGCATCCTTTGATTCCCTTCGACATGCACTTATCTCCGCACCAATTCTTGCCCATCCTGACTTTACACAGTCATTTATTTTGGATACAGATGCTAGCGACGTAGCAATAGGGACAGTTCTTTCACAGACACAAAACGGAGTAGAAAGAGTAATTGCTTTTGGAAGCAGAACCTTGTCAAAAGCAGAACGGAAATATTGCGTTACAAGAAAGGAGCTGTTGGCTGTTGTCTACTTTACAAAGTATTACAAACACTACTTGTATGGCAAGCAATTTTTAGTCAGAACAGATCACAGTTCTTTGAAATGGCTAATGAACAGCAAGAATCCAGAAGGCCAGCTTGCTCGATGGTTTGAATCACTGAGTAATTTTCAAATGACCATTGAACACAGACCAGGGAATAAGCATGCAAATGCTGATGCCCTCAGCCGTTTACCTTGCAGAAAAGCATGTTGTACATCTTCTGAGAGTATAGTTAATACCATAAGTAGCACAACACCTACGGATAAGTTGTCTTTGAAAACCAAACAAAACGAGGACAGAGACATAAATCAACTGATCAAATGGGTTGAAAAAGGTGTAAAGCCAAAGTCATCAGAGATTTCTGGTCATAGCAACTTCATTAAGTCTCTATGTTCTCAGTGGGATGCTCTGGTATTAGAGGATGGAATGCTCTTCCGAAAGAAAAAGCACGAAAATGGCAAAGTTTCTCTGCAAGCTGTTGTGCCATACAGTGAAAGACGAACAGTATTAGGACAGTTCCATGATGAAAGGACTTCTGCACATCTTGGGATAAAGAAAACATTGGCGAAGATAAAATGCAAATACTATTGGCCAGGATTGCAGAAAGATGTTAAATTGTACATTGCTGGTTGTGAAAAGTGCCAAAGACGAAAATCACCAAATACTAC